GAATATTCTTGAAGTGTCTCTCCATAGCAGAAGCAGCTCTCCATCTGCCGCGTTTCCGTTGCTATGATGCAACAAAAATATTGGCAGATTTTCATGTTGATTCATTTTGAACTGCGGTGTCTGCGCCGGTAATAGCTTTGTTATCATATTTATGGGGCATTCTCAGGTCCCAAGTTCCCAGCGAATTCTGTGCTTGGACCCCTCGAGGCTACTCTCTCCGATGAACTCTTTACCTTCGTTTGCTTGCATTCTCAAAACCTTCTAGCGAAAATGATCCCCTTATCCTTTTCAGTGTATCTGCCCCTACAAAATGCAAAAAGCCGTATTAAAGCGTACCACGACGTCATAAACGACCTCCTAGAGTACAATCAATTCCAGCTTTATTTTTTTTCATCAAATTGAAAGTCCCGGAAATGAGCCAACTAATTCAAAAACTGTCTGTTACTTCAAAACTGTCAAAAAAGCATGGGATCGAAATGAAGACCACTCTAATCACAAAGGCATAAACCTAACACTCTAACCGTTTTCGAGAATGGTCAAAGCACTATCACTAGGGTAGAAATATCAAGGCAGGAGTTTTGGGAATTAATGGATTAGACTAGAATAATTCCTACCCCATAATTCAGAGAAGCGTCCACATCTGTATGGATTTGCTTCTGAATCACAGTCTCTTCACCGGTTTTCGAAGAGCTCGATTCCAATTCTGAGATTCGAGCCCGCGCCTCATCCAATGCTTCAGTTTTCTCATTTAATTCCACATAGAGCTGTTTCACTTCTCTCTGTAGCTCGCGTACAGCCTGAAAGCAACGCAGTCAGCTCTAAGCATACGAATAGCACAATTCTTATTTTCTTTTTACTCGCTTTTTTATTGTCCGTATCATGTTTCGCTGCTGCTTTGCGGAAGCCCTCCTCGTTTGCGTCCTCTAGAGATTTTATCTAGAAAAATTGAAATATGATCACGTCACAAGCATAAGAAAGACAAAACCGGACGTTTTATAATAAAATTATGAATGAACGAAAATATATGTACCAATCTTCCCACTAAAGGAATCTTTTTCTTGCAGCATTCCTAAAATTCCAATTCCGTGAAGATCTATCAGATTTTGTTCAAA